AAGTTGGCTTGACACTCAACATTAAGAAAACCAAGATCATGGCATCCGGCCCTCTCAGTTCCTGGCAAATAGATGGGGAAGAAATGGAGGTAGTGACAGATTTTATCTTCCTGGGCTCCACGATCACCGCAGATGGGGACTGCAGCCAAGAAATTAAAAGACGCTTGCTCCTGGGGAGGAAAGCTATGGCAAATCTAGACAGCATACTAAAAAGCAGAGACATCACCCTGCCAATAAAAGTACGTATAGTCAAGGCCATGGTTTTCCCAGTTCAATGTATGGCTCTGAAAGTTGGACCCTAAGAAAGGCTGAGCGCCAAAGAATGGAGGCCTTTGAACTCTGGTGCTGGAGAAGATTCCTGCGAGTCCCCTGGACTGCAAGGCGATCAAACCGGTCAGTCCTAGAGGAGATCAACCCCGACTGCTCTTTAGAAGGCCAGATCCTGAAGTTGAAACTCAAATACTTTGGCCACCTAATGAGAAGGAAGGACTCTCTGGAGAAGAGCCTGATGCTGGGAAAGATGGAGGGCAAGAGAAGAAGGGGACAACAGAGAATGAGGTGGCTGGATGGAGTCACTGAAGCAGGAGGCGTGAGCTTCAATGGACTCCAGAAGATGGTAGAGGATAGGAAGGCCTGGAGGAACATTGTCCATGGGGTCGCGATGGGTCAAACATGACTTCGCAATTAACAACAACTCCTTGAGGACTTTCCCCCACCCCCAAAGACAATTACAGAACATTTATTGCTCATCCATCAGATTAACCTTCCTTACGGGTTTTAATTAAGATACAACCAGGATTTTAATGCATTGCAAGCAACTGGAGATGCTTATTTCTTTATTTATTAGACTATTAGACTAATAAGACCAGCTTCCCCTATATCATGTGGCCCAAAGTTGCACAGACTAATATGAACTTGTTCTTTTTTTATTTTATTTTTTAAAAATCCTTTGCACCTTCTCTCTTCTTTGAAGCTTGATCTCTATTTGTTGCATTTGTTAATGTCCGGAACAAAACCCGTTTTAAGCAACCCACAGCTGAAAAAGGTGCCGGAGCAGCACTCGAACCCAAACCCCCATGGCAGGACAGTTGAGGTTACCTTATAGACTTCTCCATAGGTCCCTCCGCCAACCCGCTGGAGAAGTTCAAAGTCCTCTTGGGGGTCCCGGGTGGAAATCTCTAGCCGAGCTGCCCCTTCTCGAGCATCCATTGTTCAGGGTTTCCCCCGTGTGCGGACAGAGATTATAAACTCTGCACGCGTGTAGGCGTTGTTCTCTGTACTGTGGTCAGGATACGGGTGAACTTCTCAGCAGGGTTCTGCTTCCTGATCTGCAGCGTGATTAATGTGGGCGAGCAACTTGGTGGTGAAAGGGCCTCTCAGCTGATCCAGAACATCTGGACCCTTCTGGAGTTTGGATGTGAATGGGGTCTTTCCAGTGGTGGGATTCAACCGGTTCCCACCACTTCGGAAGACCCCGGTAGCTAATTTTTTGTTGCCCAGGCCCGGAACGGACTTCCGGAAGCGGCATCCACACAGAGAACCGGTTGTTCACCTATTTGAATCCCACCACTGGGTCTTTCCTGTCTGCATTTTGCCCCAAATCTTTTTTGAATCTCTCTCAGAATCCTTTTTTATTTCTATTCTGATCAATGAGTTTCCTGCCACACCAAGAACAAATAATTTACAACAATGTGTGCTTAGAATGCTGTTGCCTCAAGATTAGATTGGTTCCAACTTTGTGAATTTTTGGGGAAGGTCCTCCAGACCGGAATCATAGAGTTGGAAGGGACATAATAGTAATAATAATAATAATAATAATAATAATAATAATAATAATAATAATAATAATAATAATAATAATAATAATAATAATAATAATAATAATAATAATAAAGTTGGAAGGGACCTTAGAGGTCATCTAGTCCTACCCCCTGCTCACGCAGGAAACCCTATACCATTTCAGACAAATGGCTGTCCAGTCTCTTCTTGAAAACCTTCAGAGATGAAATCGGGAGGCGAGGTGAGCTTTTATGTAATGTTCATTTCTTGCTGAGGTTTATCCTGAGCTGTCACTTCTTTTTCCCTTTTTCTCCTTTTTATTTTATTTTTGTTTTAAAAAGTATCTTTATTAAATTTCAAAAACAAATGTTCAAATGCAAGCTAACATAAAGGGGGGAAAGGGGAGGAGAATAGCAGGACAAGTTAAAAAGTGACAAAAAAATAGGTTTAATAATAATAATAATAATAATAATAATAATAATAATAATAATAATAATAATAATAATAATAATAATAATAATAATAATAAAAAAAAATAAAAAAAAAGTTGTAAGGGACCTTGGAGGTCATCTAGTCCAACCCCCTGCTCAGGCAGGAAACCCTACACCATTTCAGACAAATGGCTGTCCAGTCTCTTCTTAAAAACTTCCACTGTTGGAGCATTCACCACCTCTGGAGGCAGGTTGTTCCACTGGTTAATTGTTCTCACTGTCAGGAAGTTTCTCCTTAGTTCTAGGTTGCTTCTCTCCTTGATTAGATTCCACCCATTGCTTCTTGTCCTGCCTTCAGGCGCTTTGGAAAACAGCTGGACTCCTTCTTCTTTGGGGCAGCCCCTGAGATATAAATAAATAAATACATACATACATACATACATAAATACATAATATTTATGTATTTATTTATGTATTTATTTATGTATTTATATCTTGTTCTCCCCAGAGGTTGAAAAAAGTCATGTCTTTATTTTATGTTGGTGAAGATTCAAACTTACTTATTAGGTATAAAGTTTATGAAATTTTATGATTATTTGTTGGAAGATTTTTCGTTTTAAGTACAAGACAAGAAGAGAAGCAATAGTAGATTCACAGAACACATTGTCAAATAGAAATAACCGTTGAAAAACCACAATATTTCTCAAGTCAGCTCAGATCTAGTCCTCAAATCCCAAAGTCAGACATTGATTCTTCCCTTATCTAATAAGAACAGTAGTTTGTTATTTTCATTTCCTATATTGTTGCAATTGATGCTTTTAACTGTGTTTTCCGCCAAGAGTTGCCTCCTGTAAGGTGGTGGATCATATATATTGAAATCAATCAATACCCTAAAATGGATATTTTACTGTAAAAAGGATGATCTCTCCATCCTTCTTCTCCAAAGCTACCCACATGCGGGATGCAATTCACCTTTGGGGTCTTGGGGCTTTTCCAAATGTGATATGGGATCAAAGGAAGATCCTGATAACCTTGGAGGCAGATGATGTTCCAAACCTCCCATCAGCTGTGCCTTCCACTGGGTCGCACCTTTCACAGGTAACACATGTGATACCTTATTTATGAGATTTCTCCGTTGCCTCCAGCAGTGGATTCTGGTCTGTACTGACTATCTCGTAAGCTGGGACAGTGGGCATCTCATGGGAGCGAAACTCGGAGGCTAAGACTTGTGCTAGACCAGGGGTGTCCAATCTTGGCAACTTTTAAGACTTGCGGACTTCAACTCCCAGAATTCCCCAGCCAGCCAAGCAGAGGTGTCTAGCCTTGGTAACTTTAAAGATTTGCAGACTTCAACTCCCAAAATTCCCCAGCCACCCATGCTGGCTGGGGAATTCTGGGAGTTGAAGTCCACAAATCTTAAAAGTGATGCCCCCAGCTCCATCCCATCCCTGATTAAGGGAGCCCTTGGAAGGTGGTGAGGCTGCAACAGAGCCTGGCAAAGTAAACTGCAGAGATGCTGGAATGGGGGGGCTCCCAGCCTGCTTTCCTGCCCTCCCCCTTGGTTGGCACTGCCAGGGGGCATTGAGGTAGCTGATCAGAGAAGAAGCAGATTGGGAAAATGCCTCCCCCCCCCCAAATCTACAGCCCCCTCTGAATTTATTAATTAAGACTTGGGAGTCATTCATAAACGTTTGTGGTTTATCCCACCCAGCTAGGAAAATTTGAAAAAATTTTTTTTCAAAAGGAGTGATGAAGAAAGCAAGCCAAGTTCCTATCCCTCATTGTGAAAGAGCACGTGCTTTTTAAAAGGAGGCGGGAAGTGGGCGGGACTACTTATAAGGCAGGGCGCGGGGAAGGCGTCTCTGTATTTTTTTTCATCCTTGGCCACTTTAAGACGTGCGGACTTCAACTCCCAGAATTCAGTGGATTTGCTGGGCCTAAGGAAGGCGCCTACTCTGTCTCCAGCAAGCCGGCTGAGGAATTCTGGGAGTTGAAGTCCACGCATCTTAAAGCGACGGGTTGAGAAACGCTTCTAGGCGACCTCGGCAGGCCGGTCTTCACTGCGCATGCGTTAACGTGTGCTCCGAAGACGTCCGCCAAAGCCTGGGCGGAAACGGAAATCGGCGCCTTCCCAACAGGAAGTTCCCTTCGTTCGGCTTCTTCCGCTTCCTTTCCGGCCTCCCCTTTTTTTTTCTCCTGCCTCCGCAGCCATGGCGGCCTTCGAGCAGATGCGGGCGAGCGTGGGGAAACTGCTGAAGGGCATCGACAGGTACTTCCCGAAGCGGCCTTGGGGCCTTGAAAGCCTCGGCCAGGAGCCGCAGGCAGCTCTGGGAGAGGGTGGCGCTCTGCTCATGCTCAGGAACCCCACGTCTTCGCCGGGCAGGCAGCATTTCTGCACCTCTGACATCTCCTTTTACCTCAAAAGAAGAAAGAAAAAAGGATTTAGGGGGAGAAACAGGGATGGGGCAGAAGGAATTAGTCTACTTCCCAATTTTTATAATAATTATTAGTTGGGGTTTTTTTTTAATCGAGCTGGAGGGGCCCCACCTGGAGACCCCTGGAAAAGGGGGGGGAGGAAAGAGCATTTGAGTTGGGGGGGCTCTGGGCTTCCTTTCTTGCATTTTGCCTCTGGGCGCATCAATGGGATAGGGTCTCCTGCCTGAGCAGGGGGTTGGACTAGAAGACCTCCAAGGCCCCTTCCAGCTCTGTTACTCTATTCCATTCCTGTTCTCTTTCTGTCCCTGTTCTGTTCTTCTGTTACTAGTCTATTCTATATTCTATCCTTGTTTCTTTTCTATTTCCTGCTCTCTTCCTTCCCCTCTTTGTCACTTTTAAATCAGTTTTTAAAAGCATCCATGAAAAAGACCCCAAAATAATATGGAGCGACGACATCGGCAAGTATTGCGGGCCCAACTGGCAAAGGAAAGCTCAGGTCCGTATTGGTTGGAAACCTGCAGAAGAAGCCCTCATCCTGCAGTGGAGAGACAAAATTGATTTTAGTGTTACTATTTATTGTTTGAATGATTTAGCTCTTTTTTTTATGGATTGCAAGCTGCCTAGAGCTGCCTCCAGATAAGATGGGTGGCATATAAATTTAATACATTTTGTGGTTGAGCAACTCCACAAACAAACCTTTCGTTCTTGTGACTGACAGCTGAGGGAGGCCAGGTCCAGAGAGGAGAGGAGAGTGCAAGGAGGCACCAGAAGCGGAAATGGGGAACTGGAGCTTTTCAGTACAACATTGATGCCAGGGGTTGGAAGTCCAAGGAACTTCTGCCTGCCTCCATCGGCTCTTAGGACATCCTTCCTGACCGCTGTTCCATCTTTTCCTGAATTTCAGATACAACCCGGAAAATCTTGTCACTCTGCAGCACTACGTGGAGACCCAGGCCAAGGAGAATGCCTATGACTTGGAAGCCAATCTGGCTGTGCTCAAACTGTGAGTTGCTGATCTTTTGACACTTTGACAATCTTTCCACAAAGCCCTGAAGGCAAGGCCTGGAGAATCCAGAAGCGGGATGGAGCCTATCTGGTGACTCATTTGATTGTCTATGGAGATTCTCAGTCCTCCAGGCCATGTTTGTCTCAAAGATGCTTTTCATGTGGCAACTGGACTTTGTTTTTCTTGGAAGACGTTTCGCTTCTCATTCAAGAAGCTTCTTCAGCTCTTTCATTCCCCACCATCCAGTCAGAGCTGAAGAAGCTTCTCTGACGAGAAGTGAAATGTCTTCAAAGAAAAATAAGAAAGTCCAGTTGCCCCGTGGAAAAAAGCACCTTTGGGACTCATTTGGCAGGAGGTTGAAGGAGTTATTGCTATTTCATTGTTGTTGATTTAATCTTCTATCCCTGTAAGTTGCCTGGGGTCTGTGAGAATGAGTTGAGTGGCCATCTAAATTTTCTTAAATAAATGAAACAAATATGTTCCAGAGGGATAAATCCTGCAAATGGTTGCTCAGGAGCAGAAATGCTATGATCCATGTTGGTTTTGTCGGGTTTTGATCTTGCCATCGTTTCCTCCGCTAGGTATCAGTTTAACCCTAACTTATTCCAAGTCTCGGTGACTGCCCAGATTCTCCTCAAAGCACTCACCAATCTGCCCCACACGGACTTCACACTGTGCAAGTGCATGATTGATCAGGCTCATGTATCCTAACTTGTTTGTTACTCTAGGATAACGTCCCCGTATTGGGAGCTCAAGCCTCCCATTAACTCCGCTCGCCAGAAAAAAAAAAGTCTAGATGGAGAATTCAGTGGAGAACAATGGCTTAAAGCAGGGATGGGGAACGATGGCGTCTTTGCGACCTGTGGACTTCAACTCCCACAATTCCTGAGCCAGCCACGCTGCTCGGAAATTCTGAGAGTTGGAGGCCACAGGTTGTAATGTTGCTATAGTTGCCCACTCCTGACCAAGAGCCACATTTTTGAGAGATGGACAGCCATTATAAATAGGATACGTAAATAAATACGTTGATTTTTTTGTGTGTAAATCACTGTTGTACACTGCCCAGAATCATATTTTTGTGAGATGGGTGGCCCTACAAATATTCATTAAAAAAAACAACAGTTGCTTTCAGTTTTGCCCAAAATACAAAAGATTAGGAGGGAGAGCTGCTATTTTTATTTGCGGGCAGCGGATATTTTTCATGTCCCTGCTGCTGTATAAGGCTCAGCGGTTTCAGTTTTCATATTGTATAATGTCTCTTACTGTAGCTCGTGGGAAATATATCATTATGTTTACTCAGGTAGGTGAACGTGTGATATCTGCTGTACTTAAAAAGCCTCTGTTTTAGCTGAGCAATGTGGGAGCATTTCGTAGCTTGTCTGGTCCAAAAGATGGGGGTGGGGGGGAGGAATTCCATTATTTTCCCCAGCTTCATACGTAGCATTCCTTAACTCTGTTCCTGCCAGCAAGAGGAGAGCCCAATCCGTCAGATCTTATACTTGGGGGAGCTGTTGGAGAACTGCCACTTTCAGGCTTTCTGGGTAAGTCAACTTTATGAATAGATTCACACAGACTAATGTGACGCTTGCTCCTGGGGAGGAAAGCTATGGCAAATCTAGACAGCATACTCAAAAGCAGAGACATCCCCCTGCCAACAAAAGTGCGCATAGTCAAGGCCATGGTTTTCCCAGTGCAATGTATGGCTGTGAAAGCTGGACCGTAAGAAAGGCTGAGCGCCAAAGAATGGAGGCCTCTGAACTCTGGTGCTGGAGAAGACTCCTGCGAGGCCCCTGGACTGCAAGGCGATCCAACCGGTCAGTCCTAGAGGAGATCAACCCTGACTGCTCTTTAGAAGGCCAGATCCTGAAGTTGAAACTCAAGTACTTTGGCCACCTCATGAGAAGGAAGGACTCACTGGAGAAGAGCCTAATGCTGGGAAAGATGGAGGGCAAGAGAAGAAGGGGACCACAGAGAAGGAGGTGGCTGGATGGAGTCACTGAACAGGAGGCGTGAGCTTCAATGGACTCCAGAAGATGGCAGAAGACAGGAAGACCTGGAGGAACGTTGTCCATGGGGTCGCGATGGGTCGGACACGACTTCGCAACTAACAACAACAAAGTGTGACTAATAAGAAAGCATGTGGAAATCAAATCAAACAACAGGCTTTTGTTTTTGTGAAATAAACACTTTTGATACCGGTAGACTTTGACGTACAACTGTTCATTCAGCCACTGCTCAAAGTTACAAGAGCACTGAAAATAGTGATTTATGATTGACTCATCGCCCTCATCACTGTTGCAGAGCCTCTGCGGTCACATGATCGAAATTTGGGCACTCGGCAGCCGATGTGTATTTATGACGGTTGCAGCATCCCGGGGTCACGTGATCACCGTCTGCAACCTTCCCAGCTAGCCAAAGCAAAGTCAACGGGGGAAGCTCCTTTTGCCTAATGGCTGGTCAATTCACTTAACAATTGTAAAAAAAAAAGATTGTAAACTCGGACGCAACTCCCTTAACAACTGCCTAGCTTCGGAATGGAAATTTGTGATCATTTAAGTCAAGGACTGCCTGTACAAGCAATGCAAGGAGCATCTGCGGAACAACACACTTGTTCTACTGGTTTCTGGGAGGACATGGCGGTTTAATATGTGTCGGGTTGTTGGGTCAGTTTTTGTGCTGCTTTGGTTTAATCTCCTGAAACAGTAAATTTAGATGCTTTCGTTATAGGAAAGTAGACCAATATCTGTCACAGACCCTGTCCTGGCATCGACTAAGACAGTGATGGCGAACCTTTTAGAAACTGAGTGCCCAAAAACTGGCTCCGCCTCCGCTCCGTCCACTGCCCCGCCTGCCCGCATGGCCACTCACCGCCTCCAGGGCCCGCCGCAGATTGCCCAGGCAGCCCAGCGGTGCCATGGCAGCCACGCCCTATGCCCGCGCCCCGCAGCATCAACTGTGCGGAATAGGGCATGAGGGCAGAGTCTTGTCTATGCTGTCTGGCTGCCATGTCCTTGGCTGCGTTGTTCCGCGTGGGCCACGCTCAGGGGCGACTCTCCTCCAGGGGGGCTGCTGGAGAGGAGGGAGTTGCGGGGGGAGGCGAGGCTGGGGCAACGGCACGTGTACCCACAGAGAGGGCTCCGAGTGCCGCCTCTGGCACCTGTGCCATAGGTTCGCCACCACTGGATTAAGACTATCCTCTCTTATTTTTATTTATTTTTTAATAATAGCAAGCTCTGGATAAGAATATGAAGCTCCTAGATGGGATTGTCGGATTCGAAGATTCGGTTAGGAAATGTAAGTCAAAAGTATTGCAATTTGCTTGGGGATCTCAAGTAGTGTCCACGTAGGAAGGGTTTTTTCTCCCCCCCCCTCCCCATCCCTGCTTTATATGTCTTTCAGTATTTGGGAGGTGTTTGTCAAAAAATAAAAGAGTCAAGAGAGCAGCCAGAACTGCACAATTGAAATCCTCCTGGTTTTTTTTTGACGCTGCACCCCTTGCAGAAGGCCCTGGCTACAGAGTGATTTGAAGTCACTTAAGTGACAAGTCTTGCAGTCCCTCCTCACCTGGCAAATCTCCTCCCCTCCCCCCCTCCTTTAAAGCTCAGTTAAAGTCTGTCGTCTTAACCCCGGTTAGGGTTCTCAGTGAATCTTTTTTCCTTTTGCAGTCATTTGCCATGTAGTTGGAATCACATATCAACATATTGACCGTTGGCTCCTGGCCAAAATGTTGGGTGACCTAACAGGTGAGTGGCTGTAAAGGCAGGTATATAATTTCCTTCCCTTTGTTACATGGACTCGTAAAAATGTTCTGCTGTCCCTTGGAGCCTGCTGATATTTAGAATGGGAGGAGGTGGAGAAAACATGGAAAAATATGTCTCTCTCTCTCTACCTACCTACCTATCTATCTCAATCAAATTGCCGCCCGTCTCCTGGTTTAAGGTGACTGTGGATCGGCGCATGTTCAAATGGAAAGCAAATGAATTTTACATTTCTCTCTAGTTTTCCACACGGTGAAACGATTCCCGGGTTCTTAGCTATATAATTCATTTCGTTTCCCCCCCCCCCCACTCCAGATTCTCCATTGCTTTTACAACTGTGCTGCTCTTGGTGTATTTTGCATTAACAATCGTGGTAATAAACCTGAAGGAAAAAATGAAACGCGGAATTCTCTCTTTGGCCCAATCCTCCCAGCTTGTAACTCTTCTTCTTTGTTGCAGATAATCAGCTGAAGTCTTGGATGAGTAAATATGGCTGGGTAGAAACGGAGCCTGGGACAATATTTATTTGCAACCAGGAAGAGAACATCAAGCCTAAAAATATTGTGGAGAAAATAGACTTTGACAGTGAGTGTGTCTTTTTCTCCTGCTCATTTTCCTCCTATATTTTTTATTTTTTACTAAACTAAAGAGGGGATAATTTACAGATTAACTGCCATTCAAAGCTAAGTGTTACAATATGTAAATAGCACATGCCACCACTTTTTCCTGTCTGATGTTGCCTTACTCAGAAGTCACTGAGAGGGACATCTGTGTGTATGTGTTTGTGTATGTTACGTTCCATTGGAACTCAGAAGCCTAGGGTAACTCTTTTCTAATTTTTGGACGCTGTGCTTATTCCCTCTTTTGACTTGATGAGGTCCCCCCGTGTAGGCAGATCCTAACAACCATCATGACGTTGTGAGCTGAACTTTGCCAGTCGCAATGCTTCTGAATTTCTGAATTCAGAAATTATTATTCTGAATTTCTCTCTCTTCTTCCCTCTCTGCTTTCTTTCAGGTGTTTCCAGTATCATGGCTTCTTCCCAGTGATCCCCCCCTGGCACTCTCCTTATCCACCATACTAATTTCAGTCCCATTTTTAAAACCAATAAACCACTGTCTGATTTGCCAATAGTATATATAGCTGTTACTTCAGTCCGGCTTTCTGGATTCTTACCAGGCAGGTAAAAGGTAAAAGTTTCCTCTGTCCAGTTGTGTCCGACTCCAGGGCGCAGTGCTGATCTTGGTTCCTTGGCCCAGGGAGCCAGTGTCGTCTGAAGATATTTTCCGTGGTCAGCCATGTAGCCAGCATGGCTATACGCTACAGAAGGCTGTTACTTTCCACTGAAGTGGTACCTATTTATCTACTCACATTTGCATGCTTTCAAACTGCTAGGTGGGCAAGAGCTGGGGCAAGGAACGGGACCTCACCCTGTCGCGCGGCGCTCGGATCTTGAACCCGGGCTGTCAGCTTTCCAGCTGACAAGTTCAGCATCTTTAACTGCTGAGCCTGTCAAGCACGGGCAATTTGATTTTATTCATAATTCTGTTGCATCGCTCGTCCTGTGCGTTTTTAAAATAATTCACAGCTCTGCTGTTTTACATCTTGATACGCATTTTGCATGTTGTTTCTGTGAATTGGATGCATTTTGCTACACAGTACGGAATAAATAAAATAGATAAGTAAGCCTGGGCAATTCTCAGAGTGACGGGAAGCCACCTAAGAATGGAGCCTGGGCCACACAGGAGATCTGCAGGATGACATCTGTGGCCTTGGACTCTGCCCTCTGTGGATAAGAGCCACCCCTCGAAATCCAGGCCAAAGGTTAAAAATGCTTTAATTAATAAAGGCAGGGTTAAAAAAATTTTTTTTTTAATAAAACTTAAAATACAGTGGGATAATCCGATTGTGACCCAGGTTGTGCTGTTCTTCTAATCTCCACTAGATGGGGCTGGGGAGCCACGTGAGGAAATAAGAGTTGACTGCTATTCCTTGGCTCTTGTGGACTTCAACTCCCAGAATTCCTGAGCCAGCCATGCTGAGGGGAAAGGGAGAGGTTTCCATGCCGAGCCATGCTGGCTCAGGAATTCTGGGAGTTGAAGTCAACGAGTCATAAAAGAGCCAAGGTGGCCTACCCCTGTGTTAGCTCATCGCCCTCTGTGTTGATCTTAATCAGGGCGTGGTGGGGGGAAGAAACAAGGATCCAGGGTTCAGTTGTGAGTGGGCTAGTCGGTGGCCAAGTGACTTTTAGTTGCCGTTTTGTGCCTCCATGACTGACTGAACCTTGTCCAAGGGAAGGGTTTCTCCAGCCGTAAAGCGGGTTGTGGGTGCAGTTATTCCCATGCACACCTGGGCTTGCAACTCCAACGGGAATGACTCACAGGGTGTGGCCTTGAGACTGGGAGAGGCTCCAAGGCACAGAAACACCTGAGGCCACCAGGTGAGCAGGCACGGCTAGTCCACCAAGCCATCTGACCGTGATCCAGCGGGGCAGCTTCCGACTTCCCGTTCTCAAGTCCTCAACTTACCACCCACAGTCGAGATGGGAACTCCGAATGGTTCCTAAGCGAGAACGACTTGTGCGGCCCTCAACTCGTGACAATTTTGTCGCTAAAGGCGGTTGTTTAAGCGAGTCGCGCCCAATTTTACAACCTGCCGCAGTCGATAAACTAATCCAGGTTTTCCCCCCCCCATTGGCTTCGCTTGTTTGGAGGTTCTCTCTCCCCCCCCGGGGAGGGGGGAAGGTTGCAAATGGCGATCACGTGACCTTCGGGATGCTGCCACCCTTGCAAACGTGAGCTGGTTGCCGAGCCACCCAGGTTGTGATTGCAGAGAGGCCGCAGCGACGGTTGTAATTGCGAGGACCGGTTTTATAAGCCGCTTTTTCCAGCCCCGTCATAAGTCGAGGACCGACTGGATTCCAACGCTTCGGTCCGCTCCGAATGGCCCTCGCGCTTTGGGTTCCCCAACTGCAGATTATCCTGCCAGCCGCGGTGACCTGCGTTGACAGGTGTTTTTTTTTTCCCCTTGGAAAGAACAACCTGCTTAAAAAGAGCCTTGAGCACAAAGGGATAATTTGAGAAGCGGCTGAAGGAGGCCTATTGTTGAAGGAAGATTGCTGGGCTTTTATCGGCGGCCTCGCCCTCCACTCTTTCCCAGCTCGTTTTGCACCGATCTTGGCTTGCAAAACAGACGCCGGCTTTCTCCTTCCTCCGATTGGCTCTGCAGCGGCTCTGGGTTCCCACTTGGGAACGAGCCTGAATGAAGCATCTCTCGGGCTGGCCCGGGAACTGGGAACCGGGCCCAGAACCTCTGAAACGGGGAAGAAAGGGCCTGGTTGTTCCCTGTAAACTGATTCCCTACCTGAACAAACATGAGAAAGGAACGCGGCCTCGCTTCCCGTTTCCTGAGGTGTTGGGGTTTTTTTTGGGTGGGGGGAATTGCCTGAGTTGGTTTTATAAAGCCCTGCCGCCTTACCTCTCTCTCTACAAGTCGTCCTCGCCTTACAACGGAGGCCACCGTTTCCGTTACTAAGTAAGATAGTTAAGTACTTTTGCCCCAAAGCTTGTCACAATTGTTAATTGAATCACCGCCGTTAAGTTAGTAACACGGTTGTAAATCTGACTTCCCCATTGTCAGAAGGTCGCAAAAGAGGATCACGTGACTCCGGGACGTCATAAATAGGAACCAGTTGCCACGTGGCCGAGCGTTGATCCCGTGACCTTGGGGATGCTGCAACGGTCGCACGTGTGAAAAAATGGTCATAAGTTAGTGCCGTCGTAACTCTGAATGGTCTCTAAACGCATAGCTGTAAGTTGAGAACTATCTCTATTCTTACTGCTTGAGATTTCAAATTTCCTTCCCCTTTCCCCCCTAAAACCAGCCCTGGGAGGCAGCGATGTGAAAAGAGATCCCTTCCAACTCTATATTCTTTTTTCAAAAAAACAAGTTTTATTAATTTTCCAATTTTACAAAGCTCCAAGTGTTAAGGAAGCAACAAGCTCCTTCATGCAGGTTACATCATCAAAAATTTCCTCTCTATTTCCCTTAGTTATTATATCACATTCAAATTAATACATTGCTAGTTATAATTCAGTCAGTTAAGACATTTTATCAATATATTTTGTCTTATACGCCTTCGTATCCTGTTTTGAATTTTACCTAATTTCAGTTACAGTATTCCAGTTAACTTAATATCCAGATTTCGGGTGACCCAAAATTCCCTTCGTTCATTACAAAATAATTGTCATATCTAAAATACATTTGTTATTTACTCAGATTGCTTCTTACTTTATTTCACAAACATATCTGTTTCTCATCCTAATACCTCATCCCTTACTAATAAGATAACTCTATTCGGATTGGAATACGGCATCCAGTTTTGCTCACCACGTTACACAAAAGATTGTTGAGACTTTGGGAAAAAGCGCAAAGAAGAGCGACTAAGACGATCAGAGACCTGGAGATGAAAACATAGGAAGAACGGCTGCAGGATTTGGGGGTCATCTTATTTTCCAAAGCACCAGAAGGCGAGACGAAAAAGTGGATGAAAACTAATCAAGGAGAGAAGCAGCCTGGAATTCAGCAGAAACTTCCTAACAGGGAGGACAATGAACCAGTGGAACGACTTGCCACCAGAAGTTGTGGGTGCTTCATCATTGGAAGTTTTTAAGAAGAGACCAGACAGCCACTTGTCACAAATGGTATAGGGCAGGGGTAGGCAACCTTGGCTCTTTTATGACTCGTGGACTTCACGAGTCATAAAAGAGCCAAGGTTGCCTACCCCTGGTATAGGATCTGCCTGAACTGGGGGTTGGACTAGAAGACCTCCAAGGTCCCTTCCATCTCTATTCTGATGGGTTGAAGATCCTGACTGGCCACAAGCGGGCTGAATTTTCATGCCACTCCTGATTTGTTAATTTTTCGGCAGGAAATCTCTCTTATCCTTAGACTTGTCAGATCTGTTTATTCAGGTTTTTTCCCTGCAGTGATTGCCGTTGATAGTTCTGGGCAGGGCGACGGAATGAAGTCATAGTCCATTTCTGAGGTTGATAGGTTTGATATCTGATGTTGGATTCCTTTTTATGTATTTCTGGTCAGGCTGCCAAGGGGGCCACTGGGTTCTCTTTAAGAATCCTTACTCATTTCTAAAAGTTTGCCAGTTGGCCTGCAGTAAGTAACAGGCTCGGGGCAAACAGATCTAAAAATAGAGACTTAATGAAGTGAGTGTCGGTGAAAATAGTCAGCAGAACTTTTGGAGATTAAAAAATAGCATCTAACCAATTTTCTCTCCTCGGTCTTCAACGCAGTGTATTGTACTTAGTTTATTTTCTTTCGCTTCGCGTTGCCAAAAAGGCATGATAGGAAAAGCAGCTAAGGATTTGAAGGACTTGGGTCTGCTAGCGGACTATATTTTTGGAATATTGTTTACGATGGGAGGTATAGCTGCCTATGTCATAAAGGTAGTCCTTGTTTAGTGACCACAGTTGGCTCGTTAAGTGATTGCTAAATGAAACTGCGACTGCTTTCCTTTGCTTTGTGGACCTGGGAAGGTCATCAATCAATCAATCAGAATAGAAGCTGGAAGGGACCTTGGAGGTCTTCTAGTCCAGCCCCCTGCTCAAGCAGAAGATCCTATAGTACCATCTCAAGTCATGTGACTGTCCAGTCTCTTCTTTGTCACTGCAAACTTGCTAAATGAGGACTTCAGGTTATAACACTGTTGCTTAACCTTGACAATTTTAAGGCATGTGGACTTCAGCTCCCAGAATTCCACAGCCAGCAGTGCTGGCTGTGGAATTCTGGGAGTTGAAGTCCACATGCCTTAAAATTGTCCAGGTTGAGAAACACTGGGTTATAATGATTCTAGGCATCTTACAACAGTCCATAAAAGAGAGCGGGAAGGAACAGTATCCTTCTGCCCAAACAGTCTTCCAGCTTGAGCAGGGGGTTGGACTAGAAGACCTCCAAGGTCCCTTCCATTCTGTTAAAACTCTGAATTTGTGTGTTATTGGAAAGAACTCCAGTAGAAAGGAAACACGCCTTGTGGGGTCCTGGGTGTTCTCTCAGCTGGATGACTTTCCTGGCATTGACAATGTTCCCTCACCTGGTCATAAAATGTCTCAGAGAACAACCA